TCATAGTCATTCTAAAAAATTTCATTCACTTCTTAAAAATAATGTTAAAAAATAAATAGCGACTTTTAATTGAAGCATTTGAATTGTATTTTTTTGTGAATGACTTTCATATTATATATATATATATATATATATATATATAGAATTTTTTTGTTCATTGACAGTTCCTACTATTGTTATTAATCATTCAGTTACAATTCAATTTCAGCTATTGTTTCACAAATCTGTTACATTGTGATCTACATTCCCCATTGTTATTGAATGCAATAAAAGTGTTATTATTTGTTAAAGAGAAAAGAAAGTTGTCTCGTATAAGAATCTATTTCTAATTGTATATTCGATGAGTGTACATAGAAATTCTTATATCAATAAATTAGTCAATTTTACTCAATTTCTTTTTTTTTTTTACTATTCTTTCTTTCTTTTTTTTTGGACATTAGCGTGAAATAAGATCATGTGAATGACCCCCCTATTATATATAGACATTAACAAAAAACCACTCACCCACCAGTTAATTCGGAAGTGATTCGAAAATAATGGCGACTTCCGTTATCTCACATGTATATAGTATATAAGAGAAAGTAAAAAGAAGAAAATAGCCTTTTCAAATTCACTCAATAGACCTGTGAACCTTTTATGAAATACTCTCCTTTCAATCATATACTTTTCTCGTTGTATAAATATAATATATTCTCATCGAGAGAGAAACAAATTTAATTTAGAAACTTTTTGATACACTTTTTTCTCATCATAATATATGTATACACGCATTGATTTCAGTATACCTAAATATTATCTCAATAAAACTTTTACTATTTTAATGTAACAATTCACTTTTAAGAAAAGGGGAGAAGCAGAATATAGAATTTTTCTTTAAACAAATTCAAGAATCGATTTAGTGTTATAATTGACAAACATTTGCTGTGTAATTGAAGCACTATTTAAAAAAAAAATTCTACATTATTTGGTTACTTTAAACCTTAGAGATATAAATATCAAAATTGAAAAAGAATTTTTTTTATGAGTATCTTATAGTATATTATTAAAACAAATCGAAATACAAGAAACCGAAATGAGTTTCATATTTTATAAACAGTATGAATTGATATACACTAATCAGAAAGTGTTACATTTCCAATCAATTGATGAAAGTTTCTATAATCCACCAATGCAAATACAGAGTTACATTAACGCACTGTTTTCCTCCAATTAGAATACAGAGTTACTTCGTCGCACTACTTTGTCGTACAGTTTGTACGGAAACAAACGAAGGTGATACGACGCTAACCGAGTCGACTCGTTACTAGGTAACTCGACGTACCGCCATTACATATATAACCTCTGAAAGCATAGAAGATATATTGTCAAAATAAACACCGCATTAGATCCTTGCTGTAGCAATCGCCAAAATTTTTAAATATAATTTAAACGTTTAACTAATTTTAACTAAATTGAAAGTAATTTGTTTTATTTATTTCTATAACACCTTGCGTCAAAAACCCACATTCCATGCTCCTGAATCACGATTACCAACCAAACATAAATGTTTGTTACTATGACACTAGCAAATTAATAAAAAAAAAAATACGTCTGCTCATATGCCTCATTCTCCGTGTGTTGACGCGTCGCAGAAACAAGCTAATCTCAATATTTCTCGACATTATACAAAAAACGCGAAATCTTAAACATGTACAATGAAATGATTAGTGATAATAATGAGTGTAATAACAATGAGGAGGACATTTCTTTCATTAATGATTTAGTAAATTCTGCTAAAGACAAATTAATTCTGGAAACTTCAAGAAAAAAAAAAATTCTTATAAGCATTTTCTAACCTGAATAGAAACGAAAAAAATAACATCGATGAAAGAATAAACATTCTGGGCTTATTTCGAAGATCAATCAAATAATAAATCACCTTCGATTTTGTGGTTGATATATTCAATCCTGAAAAAAACTGTTCGACAGTATCATGATATTGATATAAGCAATTATACAAATTTAATTGACCTTTTCAAAGTCTTGTCGAATTTTAAAAGAAGCTCCAGATCAACAATACTTAACAATAAAGGTAAAAAATACAATTATTTACAATTAAATAAAACTAATAATAAACTAATTACTGTTACTCGAATAAGAGCGAACTGGAGTGGGATTACGAATAGCAACAGCGCTACGAAGATTTCGCTACGTAGCGATTTGAAGCTACATTCACTTAAAAAAAAATTCTTGTTACTGGGTGACTCAAAAAAATTGTATTAGTTTCACAGATTAAGGTTAGCACAATTGTTTCGCTGGTAAAATTCAAAGATAGAAATTATATTATGAGTACTTTTTGAAGAGGAAAGTATGAAGTTAAAAATTATGGATTCAGGTTAAATTTACTCGAATAATTAAAATTCAAATAATTTTTTTGTAAATTATTTCATTGTAAAGTAACAGTTGGCAATCATGAAGTTAGAGAATAGTTTCCACCTTCGTGTAGTATTTGTTTGCTACGTAGATAAAACCTTTTAGGAAATTGATATGAATTCTATGTCAAAGGTCTTATCCAGTAGGGTTATGTTTATATTCTCTTCGGAATTACAATCTTGCAGTTTAAGTTTTGAAAAAACTGTCAACGCTGTTTTATTTTGGACATCATTTAAGTTTTTAACCCTAAATAGTGAAAAGCGCTACATATAGCGACTAGCGCAATTCGTAATTGCACTACTGCCCTCTCGCGTAAAAGACAACAACTCTCTCTACAAAGACAGCAGTGTTCCTTTAATTTTTTCAGTACAGGATGCAATTTGTTTACAATTTCTTCACAGGCAGTAGTTATCATTGGAGTTCAAGGGGCCTGCCGAAGAGAAGGATTATGTAATTTAACAATGCAAGATCGATAAAAATTCTTCTTATGAGATTACGATTCAGAAAACTAAGACAAATATATCACGTAAATTTGTTTTTGGAGAAAGTTTTTATGAAATCGTACAAAAATATGCACTTTTCCGCCATGAGGAAGTGCAAGCTGATCGATTTTTCCTCAATTGTCAACTAGGAAAATGCACAAAACAGGTTATTGGTTTGTAAAAAATGTTCAAAACAAAAATTGTCTCCAACAAAAAGATCTACATTTTTGAACCCAAAAAATTGCGTCTTGTAGGTCAGTGTAAGATTTCTCGGCCCAATATTAGGCCGCATGAAATTCTGCGTTTAGACGTGAGAAGTACTTGACTAAAAATATTGGGCCGAGAAGTCTTATATTAGGTTCTAGGCCCAATTTGAAAAAAAAACTAATTATTTACTTCAAAGAAAAGTTATACATATGAAGAACAAAACGAGGTCCACTCATGACTATATTTCTCTAATAATTTATCTGACAAATTACTTCGTCGCATCTTTTGGAAGTCACAATGTTGTTAGCCAACTATTAAGATAACTATTCTACGATTTTCCCTCACAGTATCGAGATATTCAGGATATTTAACGAATGTTCTTGGTATATTATTTGATCCGGGAAAATTAGGATATCCATAGGACGTCCCAGAGACGTTCGTGGATGTCCAAATGATATTCTACGGATATCCTAATCTCCGGATAAAAATAATAATAATTAGAAAAAATGATTCAATTTCTAAAACATTTAATTAATTTTCATAACAATACAAATCTTAGAAATCAATCAAAAATTATTTTAAATTAAATATATTTGATAAATTCTTTTTTGAAATATTTGAACTAAATATTATTCTATAATAACATAATATATTAGTAATTTTTGTTACATTGTGTATGTTAAAATAAAATTTATTGTTATTAATAAAATTCATAATTTGAAAATTAAAATAGAATATTTATGTCCTCTTTTATTTCTCTCCTCTTAATCATCGATGTGGATTATCATATAATTAAAAGTTGGTGTACATCCGCATAGTTGAGTTGTGGCCTTTTCTTATAAAATCGTTGCGCAGTAAATTGGCCTACACAGCCAATTGATTGAATCTGTTTTAGTATAATGATCATAAACTAAAACAGTTTCTCTACATCACTTTGTGTGCATCAATGTTCACTTCTAATAAAAGTGTATGTTTACAAAATGTAGACATATTACAATAAAGAAACTAATAGAGGAAGTTGAAACGAAAGTGAATTTTATAGGAGTTAAATTACAGATCTATTACCTCTTCGAAGTTGAGTGAATGATTTCCTTTGATGAGGTCAATAAAGGAAGTTACTTTTTAGTCAAGCAGTAAAGGAATCATAACATTCAAAAGCAAACAATTTTCCCTGGTTTATTTGAAAAAAAAAAATACTAAATATATGCAATCACGGAAATTATAAATTTCCTATGAATATTTTATCAAACGTTTTAATATTTTTGACAATACTGTAATTAAAAATTATTTAGAAGAATCTAAATATACAAAAAAAACAGGAAAAATTCACTGATTCAAATAATTGGAATTTAGCTTAAATCAGTGAATTTTTTTTTTTGCTGGTTCTGATTTATAAATAAAATTTAAAAGTAAATGCAAAAACAAATATCACTTCTGTTTATATTCTTAAGGAAAAATATCTTCAAAGAGTGTATGTGATTTTGATGATTTCCATGCGAATGATCTTGAGACATATGGAGTTTTGTGAATGTCGATATTAATTTTTAAAAAAGGGTAGATGCGTTGAAAAAAGATAGTTAAATGTTTTTGCACGATTCCACATTAGAAATCCGCTAATTGACATACACCTCAGGTGTTTTGAAATATACTCTCACTTTTCTGTGAGATCATTTTGTCTTATGTTTGTATACATAAGCCCTCTTATATTATTGTGGATCCGATATATATATTTTTATCGCACCAAAATACACAAACATATATGTATTTGTAAATGCATGTGCAAAGGTGTTCGACAAGTGTATAAACTTTACCTTCACCTAGACCTTTCTTATTCTCATCGAGAGAGAGAGAGGGGACTCTCGATATAAAAGGTCTCATGATGTTTGCAATGCCATCAGATACTATATTTTACTTACTCAGCAATCTAGTTTCGAGAACAACCCTTTTTTTTCCCCCGTGAATTTCAACATGCGGTCATTCGTAAGTGTTGTTTATTTTCAATTGGATTTATTTATAAAAACAATAAAATATTCATGAAAATCGTATTTTTTTCTTATGGTAAATTCAAAGGACAATAATTTTTATTATTCATTTCCCTCACAACACAAGGATATTCAGGATATCCCTGGGACGTCCTGGGGTTATCCATTTGCTTTTGGCGATTCGGATATCCCTAAGATATCCTCTGGATATCCATGGACATCTCTAAGATATCCCAGGGATATCCAAACCGCCGAAAAAAATCGATATCCCCAGGACGTCCCAAGGATATCCTGAATATCCTTTTGTTGTGAGGGTTATATTTATTACAATTAAATTTTATTTACAGTAATAAACGGATTTACAAAATAAAATGCTCTTCCGTACAGGATGTATTAATTAATTAAATCACATAATTATATCGAAAAACAGATGTAACACTAAATTTTATTTAATTTAACCAAAAATTTTAATTGGATGAAATTAAATTGTATTTGTATCAAAAATTTTTTTTTATTTCTAACATATAAATAGTTATAAAATAAATATTTTTTTAGTAGTTACAAATAAATTATTTTTAATTCAAATAAAAAAAAATTCTCTGTAGATTTTAATTACATTCAGATTTAATATTTTTATTAAATAATTAAATATTTGGATTTTTTTTAATATTAATTTAATTAAATACTTAAATTAATCTTTTTTAAAAATATTAGTACATAAATGATCGTACAATTTTTGTTAATATAATTAATATATTATATCTATAATTATATATTATAGATTATAAATAATCTGTTACATGACTATTATCAAATAAATATTTATTTGTATCAAATATTATTATATATTAGTCAATTAATATGTATTTGCTTCAAATACAAAAATTATTGGTTCAAATATAGTTTATTTAGTTCACATAAAAATTATTTGTTTCAAGTATAAATAATTATTTGATAATAGTCAAGTAACAGATTATTAAAGTAAAATAAATTTTTTTTTCAGTGCAGTTATTTTAAGTTTGCCTAATATTTAATTATTTTAGCATAGCTTTTCTTGAAATTTAATTGACTCTATTTATTGTCATCAATTATTTTATAATATACATTTTAATCAATCGATTACATTTTTTTCTAAAGAAATGAGTGAAACGTCTTGGAAATTTTGTCAATCGAGAAGATAACTAAATATCGACACTTAGAAAATTATTATTTTTTTGTCTAATGTCGTTTTTAGTTATATCTATTTTCTTTTTTTTGTACTAATTTAATCATTGCTGGTATTTAATTAACAGAAACTTGGAATTAGTCGAAACAATACTCACTGGTAATTTAATTTAATCTCCAAAAACATTTCATGTTTTTGTTTCGAATTAATTTGCATACAGAAGGTAATTTTCACACGACAGGACAATTGGGGGAAAAAATTTGTTTTTTGAAGCATATATTCAGATATTCATTATTCTATATAATAATTGTAATATTCAATTAGATAAATAAAATTTCCATTAATTTTCAAAATGGAAATGTAATTTAGTTTTTGGAAATCCGTTCATATTCTTTTTAATAATTTATTTATTTATTTTCCACTTTACACTGAAAAAAATGATTTGATTCAAATACTCGATTACTTGACTATTATCAAATAATTATTATTTGAGTCAATTAAATGATATTTGTTTCAAATCCAGAAACTATTGGTTGAAATACAATTTATTTAATTCAAATAAAAATTATTTGGTTCAAGTAAATATTTATTTGATGATAGTCAAGTAATCGATTATTTAAATCAAATACATTTTTTTCAGGGTATGTAAATTGATTAAAGTATTATTAATTTAAATTGTTTATATAAAATAAAAATTATTGTTATTGTTTGTTGCTTTGATAATTAAAAATTAATTTTCAATTTAAATTTTAATAACTTTAGATAATTTAATTTAGAATTAGAAATGTGAAAAGAATAATTTTGAAAATCTGTATTTATTTTATTTTACTGTTACGCAAAAATTAATTGCAATGGATAGGCTTACGTTCAAATCAACGATTTAATCAAAGCAATATTATTATTAAATTCACTTCACTATTATTACACGTTGGAATTGATTTTACATTTCTTTAAATTGACTGAGCATGACTCTTATGTCTCTATTAAAATGTGTATCATTTATGTATGTCAGTTATAATTCCACAATTACTCATATATCAATTTTCACAGTATGTTTTGTTTAATAGTGCGCGAATAAATTTTAATTCCAAATTCCACTTGCTCATTCATTTATATTTATAATCATCTAGAATTACACATATAATATAGAAGACAAGAGAATAATTTTTATAATATCAAATTATTGAACATACATGTATCAATAATAATTTTTCCATTTGAGAATTGCAATAATTTCTATATCAATCTATAGATTACATATTAATTGCAATGTAAAGTTACACCCATGTGTATAGAAATAACCAATCACGTTTGATGTACAAATTTTTAAAATCTACATTTATTTCTAGTTTCATTTTATTTAGCTTTTCTAAAATTAAAGCTATTTAATTTACTTCATAAACATTTTGATAGAATTAAAAAATTTTCAATTTCCATTCTGATTCAGCGATGCCAAAATATATTTATTTTATTTAGTTTTATTATTTCCAGATCCTCGTGGTGTTAACCGCAGTAATCCTCTCTGACCTTTCAATCAAGGAAACGAAAGCTGACGTGAGACTCTACAGGAGATATCGATTGAATAAGGACAAACGAGGTGCAGCATCCGATTATTCCACGAGTAGTTACGCTCAAGCTACACCAACTCAATCACAATCAACTTCCTCATCGTCGTCGCAAGCCAATTATGCTCTGAGTCCAGGAATTCAAAGTTTTGCTGGTTTAGGTGGTTTTGGTAGCTCCTTAGGTCATGGACTTCAATTTACTGATTCCTCACCAGCTGCAGCGAGTCATGGTGCAAATCTTGGCTACGGCCTGAATCTTGGTCACGGTTACAATCTGGGAACACTATCATTAGGTGATCAGGGGAATTTAATTATGCCAACGCAAACAAAAACGGGACCAGTTACTTTTAATGGTCAATTAGCAGGCACAGCTGGAGCCTCAAATAGTTATCCTTCATCAGCACTTTACGGTGGAATACAAGGAATGGCGACAATTGGTGGTCAATCCGGAAGTTATAACATACCACTAATACTGGCAGCATCACCTGCTTCAAACTACGCCTTTCCGGCATCATCAGCAATGTCTGGAGCACATGGATTGTCTCTAGCTAATCTGGGCTCTGGTGGATCACAGAGTTACAGTCATTCAGTTTCTGGTTCACAACAACCAGTTACTGGCGGTATTCTTATTGCCACATCGCCTATGTCTTCTTCCAAATACAGCCTTCCATCGTCAACATCATCTCAGGGTGCTATTATTTATGCTCCTATTTCTTCGGCTTATGGATCATCCAACGAAATAGATGGTGGTTCAAGTAGTACAAATTATGTTCAACCAATTCCATCATACGGTGGTTCTAATACCGGAACCAGTTCTCTTACAAAATATGTACCAGCTTCCTCTGAGGGAAGTGCGTACGCAGCTAGCGAATCTTCCAATAGTATTTCAAACAGTAATTACAGAATTCCAAATTCTGCTTACAGTTCTCCTAGCTCCAGTTATAGTTCCCCTAGCTCTAGTTATAGTTCTTCTAGCCCTAATTATGCTTCTTCTAGTTCAAGTTATAGTTCCCCTAATGCTTACAGTCCAATAAGTTCCAGTTACAGTTCTCCAAGTTCCAATTATGTTTCTCCAGTGGCAAGTTACAGTTCTTCAAGTAGTCAAAATCAAGCAAGTCCAAGTTATGCAACTGGCAATTATCATTCTCCCAATTATTCCGGAAGTACCAAAGGAGGAACTGGTATCAGCTATGCTAATTCTGGTGCTAGTTATGCTAGTCCAAGTGTCAGCTATTCTAGCCCTAGTTCTAGCTATTCTCATCCCAGTTCCAGTCAATCAGTAAGTGGACATAATTTTGCGGGAACCAATTATGGTTCACCAAGTGTCAGCTACTCTGGTGGTAATTTGAATCACTTGACACAAAGTGCTAGCTACTCGAATCCATCTGTTTCATATGTTAGTGCTGATTCTGGTCATTCTGGATCAAGTGGTTATACTACAAGTTATTCTAATCCTACATCATCTCACAGCTCGCAAGGAGATTTATCCGGAGCTTATGCTGGCTTAACCACCAAATATCTTAGATATCCAACGACTAAAGTTGCTGAAAAGAAACAATCCGACTTGTCGGAATACGATACAATTTCATATTCAGGTCCCACTGGATTGTCATAGTTTTATAAATATATTATCAAAAAAAAAAAATTCCAGTTATTTTGGAAACTGGAACACTGACGCAACTCCAGTTGATGCAATATCAAAAACGTTATTATAATTAAAAATTTTTCACTTTCAATTGATTCTGATTGACAAAATTAAGGATAAAAATTTTTAATTTACATTCTTTTGAATACTGTCGATAAAAAATTATAGAAATTATAATTATCAAGCTTCAAAGTTTGAATAATTTCTTAAAAATGTTTAGAATGGAAAATTGGAAAAATCTTTAAAACGATTATGATCAGAATTTTCAAATAGGTTTTTCTTTACTAAAAATATTTAAACATTAAAATATTTGTATTTATGCAATATTTTAGACTCAAATGTTTGTACTTCAAATACACCAATTTTCTTTTATCTAAACTATATTTCTTAATTGACGTGTTCTAGGATATCAATTTTTTATAATTTTCTTATTTCAAAGAAAAGTTTCAACTATTCTCATTGATTAAGAATATTTCTCGTATTCAACTGGAACGTAGACAATCGAGGCTCCGAAATTTTTTTTTTAATTAAAAATAATTATTGTATAAGAATAGTTTGTATTTATTTATGACTTTTTGACTATTGTTGAATTTGTTATAAGTTTTACAGCACTAAACTGTGATGTGTGTTTTTTTAGTGTTAAAATCTTTTTTTTTTTTTAATAAAAACTTGTTTCTTATATTTCTCTTTTTTTCACCTTGTTTCCTTTTACAAATAAATGCTTTTTATTTCTAAAAAAAAAAATTTCTAGAAATACTTTCTCAGAAATTTCTAGAATTTGAAAAATAAAATTTCTTTTTAATTATTATATCATTATTTTAATAAATACTTGATAAAGAAATTTTAATAAATTCATGTGGATCAAGATATAAAAATTAACATTAATTTTTTCACTGTGATAAGTTTGTAAAAGTTTTGTAGCATTTATTGTAAATACAGATAAGAAATCTTATGCCACGCGCAACGGCAAAAGAGCTCATTATCTGATTAAAGTCAACATTAAACTAGCGACTGCATTAAATTAAGTCTTGCATATCTAATTACAAAATTTTCATGCAAAATTGTGATAATCTCAGCATTTAGACATGAAAAATATTTGACTTTTGAAAGTTATTTCCAAATAAACATTTTGTCATAGGTTTCATAAAAAAAATCTATTAGTACGCAAATATTATACCTACCGCACAAAGAACTTAAGTTGCGAAAAGTTTCTCAAAGATGTATATATGTGAAAGTCTTGATTCAAATACCGGTTTTAATGAAAAATAGTCATTAGCGGCAGCAAAAATAGATGCAAAAGAAAGAGATCACTTTTACTTCAAGGTCAGGCAACCCGACAAACCAGATAGCAAAACCCCTTTCTAAAAAGATTATTTTATTTGGGAAAGTCATTCGTAAATTGATTCCTGTATAAGATGACTGAACACTCTGCTTTTTCACATCAGTATTTCCCATTTTTGCTATGATAGACATATATATCAAATTGTAAGTAAGCTTTCGTCTTCATCGCGAAATCATGAGATTTATCGCAAACTCTTGTGTGAAAACATTCTTTGATTGAAATGATTAAAACCTTTTTTATCATGGATTTTGCAGCATATATGTAAACCAAAGAAAGAATATTTTTAAATTAGTCGTATTTCATTTTTTTTTTTCAAAATGATTTCCTCTCAATATCCTTTTAATATGAAATATCCTTTCAATTGGAGAGGAATGTACTATTATTTATTTTTTTAATCATAAAAATGGATGAAATCCCCTAATATTTGGAACATATTTTTTTCTCGATATATAACAGTAGATAATTAAAAAAAAAAATCGAACTTTAAGTATCCTGACACTTTACTTAACAATAGTAAAATGTAAATTATGTAATATAGTATTCAAGCTTTTTAAAATTCAAATTATGTATTTGAAAGTGTAAATAGATATTATGTTTAAAAACAAAAAAAAAATGCAAAATTACTCAAGCAGAACTTGAGCAATACTTCTTTATGTAGTTGATTTAAAATAGATGACCATTTCCTGGGTTACTATCGATGAGTCTCTAATCAACGAGAGTGATTTATACTGCTATTTTGTGCATTTATGTTAGAGAAATTAAAATGCATACAAAATATGTATATAAAGATTGTTGAGCAAAACGGATGATGGATGAAATGAGGAGTTAATTTATAACACAGTTAAAACTACAGCAAAAGTTTATTTCCATGACTGCTGTGAATTAGAGTTACGCTTTCTCGTGATAATTATAATTCATGTATAGTTTAAAAGAACATTTTTTGATTAATATCCCTTTTAATTATCCGATTTTTGTAACATTGAAATATTCACAAATTTATAGAAAATAATTAGACATTAATCTTCAATTGTTCGGAAAATTCAATAATTTCATATAATGTTCCCTTTTTTATTTAATTTTTTCTATCCTTGTCGGCAAAACTATTTTTTTTAAATTTTGAATAAAAAATAGTGATGAAATTAAAATTGTCATGTAATTAATGATATTATTATTTTTCTCTTTATTAATTTTTACTGAAAGTAAAAGGGAGATTATCGAATATGCTTTCATGTGTAATATTAGTGAAGTGCTGACCTCACTCGGTTAATGTACAAACAATATTTCATATAAAATTGTTATATTAGTAATGTATAAATTATCGGAAATTGTACAATCACTAATAGTTAGATAATACAGAGTGATTCATTTCAAATTTATAGAAAAATTTGTCAATTGCTTCCTTTTGAAGCAATTAGAGAAACCCTCTAAGTGGAAAACAATTCTATAATCCTGTTGATTTTTACAATAAACTGAAAATTTAACAAATTTTATTATACTAATTGTATTGTAAAAAACAGTTTTGGAACACTGAAATAATGGAATTGCTTACAGCTGCTAAGTGATATTTCCTGTCGAATTTATTAAAATTAGTAATCACAAACAAATTTTTTGCTTATGACAACGAAAAAATTTGCTGTGATAAATAATATCAATCAAAATTTTTTAAAATTAACTCTTACAGCAGACTTTTATAACCCCACAGCAAATTTGTTTTACTGTGCTTATATTCGCAAACGTAATTTTATATGCCAGCAAATAGTTGGCTTCTACATCAAATTTCTTCTATACGTAAAAATTGCACTTTGGGAAAAAGCTAGCAAAGATAGGGAAATATTTTCGTCAAGGTATGGAAGCAAAAATTTTTTTTTCACATTGAATAATCTCTCTTTCAAAAGATTGCAAAAGTATAGGAGCAAAAAAAAAAAAATTCACTTTTTTAATTTGAAAAATTTTTTTTTCAAAAGATTGTAAAGGTATTGCAAAAGTATGGGAACACAAAAAAAATTTTTTCGCCTTTTGCAAAAGTATTGCAAAAGTATGGGATCGAAAAAAAATTTTTTTTTCACTTTTTTAAAGAATTACAAAGGTATGATAAAAGTATGGCAGCAGAAATTTTTTTTTTCTTTTTGCAAAAGTATTGCAGAAGTATGAGAGCAAAAAAAATTTTTTTTTTAGTTTTTTCATTTGAAAAATTTACTTTTCAAAGAATTGCAAAAGTAATGCTAAAGTATGAGAGGAAAAAAAATTGTTTTCGTTCACTTATATTATAACTTTGATAAAGAAATTTTTCAAATTAAAAAATTGAAAGAAATGTTTTTTTTTGCTCTTGTACTTTTGCAATACTTTGTCAAGGGTTTACAATGTTATATAATATTAATATAAAGTTTTTGAAACGCTTATAAGCAATGTTTGCAATCTTTTGCTAATATTTCAAAGTAATGGTGAAAACTGGAAAACTTTGACGAAAATCATTTCCCCTTTTTTGCTTTCTTTTTCCTAAAATGCGATTTTCACCTAATAAAATCAATTTAATTAAAGAATAAATAAAGAATAGATTACAAAAATATATAAATAAAAAAAATCGTGTGTAAAAAAGGTAGAAAAAAATATTTAATATAAAACAGAAACTATTTTAAAATCACGTGTGTTTATTACATATATAGTTTTATACATAAAATAAAATTTGAGATTCTACAATACCAGTTTTTGTGAAAATCCTTTGGGAATATATATTCCATAGCTATTTACATTTATTTTGGATTTTTTTTTTTTTTTTGCAATCGTATAACTTTTTTACAAGTATGTGAAAATGACAATGCAATCGCAAAAAGATATAAAAAAAAAGTTATTGAGAAAAGAATGTCACAAATAATGTTTTAGTTTTCTTACCCATTTATTTTAGTGGACATTTCGCATGGAATTGTCAGTGTCAACCCACGCGCTTATCATAATATGTAAAGTATATGCGCGTGTGCTGTGAGGCCTACTCCCCTTATGCACCTGACCCAGTTTTAAAACATATTTACACGCATGGGTACTCTTATTTACGCACGAGTATATGTGCATAAATGCATTCAACTTCGTGAGAGTATATAACTGGTCACGCGCACAATCCAGTCCGGGACCTAATGCAATGATTTTTTTAGCCGCTATTCGCGCCTTTTGATGCCCTCTTATGGAAAGCACTTTTCTCTACTTTTTCCAACACTTGTTTCACTCTCTCATGTGAACATCAATCCTACATAAAGTGGAAATCAAAAGAAATCCTTTCACTTTTCCCTAATTTTTTGTATCCAAATTTTGTACGTTTTTAACAACTACGCGATGATCGATTGAATTTTGAAATCATTCTTACTCTCAGTTAGAAATTTTAACTCTGTACTAGCCAGCATACAGTTTTTCTAGATATAGGGAGACAGAGGAGGAAAAAGTAACAAAATTCAGTAACTAATTCAGTTGAATTGAAATGAATACATCCTGGGCTTCAGTGAATCCCGCTTAGTGACAAATTCGAATTGGTGCTATGTTGGAATTCTCCTGAATTCGACAAAGCTGTATTCAACTTTCAAACTCTCTATTCGTACTAATTCAAAATGAACAAACTTTTGAGGTTTAATTTTTTTCAATTCTCGTCAGCACATATTCAATAGACTTATTGGTACGAATTGAATTGAATATACAAAAGGATGCACTGAACCATGTTTAGCGACAAATACGAATTGGACTTTACCAAAAATGTTCATTCATTTCAATTCATCTGAATTAGTTTTTTTTTTTACTGGGAAGATTTTACACAAGTTCTGATACAAGAACTTGTTCTAAATTCTGATGCCAAAATTGTACATTTTCTTGTACATGTTCTCACCAGAAATGGTACAAGTTCAGCTGCTGAACATGTATAGTTTCTTGTACAAGACCACAATTTGCAGACGCTACATAACTTAATAATAATTTATCTTTTCTACCACTTCAGGGAATAAAATTCTCATTCCAATTTTGACGAGATTTTTTGAACAGTAACTGGACAGAAAATACTTATCAGAAAATATGTCTAGTTATACCGTTTAGTTACTTAGCACTAACTAACTAGATTATCTTGTCAAGTAAAACTTGCTCCCAATTTCAAGAACACTGGACAGAGTCCAGAATTAAGGGAGAAATTTCTTCTATTATATATATTATAACGTAATTATTATTTTATTATCGTTTTTATTTTAATTTTATTTATTTTATTATTGTCACTTTAATTCAATTTACGTTATCTACTCTTTTAATTAATAATTTACTAAGACGCCAAGTTATTTTTATGGGAAAATAACTAAATCATTCTACATATAAT